TCTCTCTCTCTCTCTATGACTATTCAGATACACAGAGCGGCAATATAGTCTACAGCGAAAAGGTTAGGCGAAACTAGTTCGTTTTCGTTGAATCGATAACGTATTGGGATTCGACTCCCAATACGATAATTTCAACTGACCCGTTTCCGGTTGATCGGGCGGATAGTGTATGTGTATAATAGTCGCAGCCACGGGGAGGGGGGAGGGAGGAGAACCGTTCGTTTCCTGTCCGTTTTTCATCGAGCCAAGATGACGCCAATTACGAGCTCCTTTTTTCACGAAAAATTACCTTATTTACCTTGCCGGCCACGTTCCCTCCAAGAGAATACGTGCGCGTTAAAAAAAAAAAGAATGATAATACGCGCGTCGAGAAACGACGGAGGATAAAAAGGAGGATAAAAAGGAAAAAAGAAGGAGGCAGGGAATATTCTATCGACCGACGTATAAATAATAATACGGTGGGAGGGCGGGACGTGTCGAGGGAGGAAGCGCGCGAATGTATACATCGCGAATGGTTGTTCGCCATTATCGTGGCCGTTCGAGTGGAATCGGTTGAGCGTTCCCCTCGGTGGCGACAATCCAGACCGACTTACTTGAGTCGTCCGAGTCATCGATTCCGAGGTGCGGCGACGGTCGTCGAACCAGCTTTACGAGAGAAGAATCCAACCGAACCATTCTTTCTTTCCTCCATAATGGTTGGTCGCGTTCTTTGAACCTCGAGCAGAGGTTTTCGAGACCGGCCTCGAACGACCGGCCACCGCCGAACAATCGATCGTCCGTCTCCTACGTGATTTCCACGATCCCTCGTCGTCACGATTCTCTTTTCCCTTTTCGATCCTCCGTTTCCTCGAATCGTTAAAAAAAAAAAAATCTTTCTCGAACGCAAGCCTTTGTCACCGCTGTTCTTGAGAATAATTATCGACGGACAGGTAACGGGGATTCGTTATCGCGACTCGCACTTTCGAAATTACTCGTTTTCTTCTTCTTAGTCTAGTTTCGCCGCGACGTTTATTCTTGCGACGCGATCTCGGGTGAAAGCTGGCTATAGTCCACTTTCCACTTGGAGCTCGAATCGTCATCGGGAGAGTAGATTTCCCCCTGAAATTTCTTTTCCCCCCGAAATTAATCCCCTCCGACTTATTTCCGTCGAGCCGATAATCGAAATCTCTCACATCGTTCACAAATTATCGGAAATTCCAATTTCCACGTTGAGCGACGATCGCCAGTCCATACGCGTGTAACCTTGTCCCTTGTACGGGTGTAGCGGATATCGATGTTGGTCACGTAGAGATCGTGAACACCGCGGGATGTATAAACCACGTATTCGACCACGACATCGTGTTTTCGGCTCCGCTATGTGGAAAAAAAAAAAAGAATCTTGGACAACCGGTGACAAACGCTCGTGACGCGAAAGCATCGTGGTCGTCAAAAGAGACTGTGCAACCCTGTTGATGACAAAGTAGTCTTGATATGATAATAACGTGATAGATTGCACCGTGATTTATTTTCACGGTGGCGATACCATTACGAGTTTGTTGGTACCGCATGACACGCGATCGAAAGGATTAAAAATGCCTCCGTCCATTTTCTCTTTCTTTCAGTCCAATCTGTGTCCTCGTTATCCCTCTTATCGATCGAGCGATAATTGATCGATAAGTGTCCCGTCCCATCCCATTCCATTGCGACCGAACGTATAAAAGATTCGAGAGATCCATCCACCGTTGAACTTGACCATTTACACGTAGCGATATCTAAGTATCTACGTTTGAAAAATTCGCGAGAAATCGACGAGGCCTTGATGCGTTTATTTTTTATCCAGTAAATGCGAAAGACGAGTTCGTCTTTTAAAAATTAAAAATTAAAAATTAAAAATTTCTCGTATCTTCTCGTATCTAGATTCATATTTGAAATGATATGGTAAATAATTATATATATATATATATATGTATATTGGCTCATAGAGTTAGGTCATTTTATACGATCGTAACATTTTTAATAAGAATTTTATCATAAGCAAATATTTTTACAACGTACGGCTTTCGAGACTGATAACACGATCGAGAATTGCTTCATGAGTCACCTTTCCCCGATACGTGTATTTAAATAAGGATATAACGACGGAAAACGGGTAATAATAATCTTATAGTCTATAATCGGGCCTATAAGAATAATCGTGAGAATGACGTTGCTCATGTCAGCCATACCGATTAAAAGCAATTTTAAAAGAGAAGTTACCGAGAAACTTGAATCAATCTTATCGATTTCTCCGTGTGTATACACCGAGGACCTTTCGTCGCTCGTTTCTTTTTCCTTTTTTCTTTCGATTCTCGTTACTCCTCGCGTCGCTACCATCTATATATCGTATGTCCATAATTCGTAGCGGACAAACAACTTTCTCTCGGTGCGCGTAGCTATCCAACTTTTTCCACAAATTTCGTTTACATTTTCGTAACGAAACGAGTTTAAAAAGTTTTCGAGAATAGAATCCATAATACCATTCCCGCCGGTATCACACCGCTCCCAGTTGCGGGCAATCCGTGTATTTTCACGTATCTCCGGTAATATTTACGGCAAACGATACACGGTGGTCGGAATTGACGTTGTTCAGCAGCCTGTATTTATAAGTGACGGTCGCTCGTTAATTAGCCCGATAACTGGTGCTTCTTGTTTATCGTTGTTAAATAGAAAATTTCGAGTATCGATCCCGGCACAAGTCGATTAGTTTAATTAGAGTTATTTAATAGATCTCCCCGTAATGGGAACGAAGATTATTTAATTTTTCTTCGTTAATTGTTTGCGTGACTTTCTTCTCCGTTCCCTTCTATACTCATGGGGGGGGATAATTATTCGGAGAATTCCGCAGACGCGCCCTTTTGTTCTCGCCTGAATGCTTTTTTCGAACGTCGTAATTTCAACGTCTCGATATACTTGCGCGTCCGTTAAACGCGCTCGAGAAGTTTGGCGAAGTTCGAAATTTTGGCGCGTTTTATTGGCGAAGGGAGAAAGAGAGAGAAAGATCTGATTTTGTTTCGCATGGAGTTGCGGTTTTGCGAGCAGAGATACGGTCGAACGATAATTTCCTTCCTTCTTCCTTCGGCCAGACCGCAAAAAACGTCCAAAGTGGAAACGATAACTCTTGCCTCTCTTTCTCTCGGACGTAAAATTTTACTTGGTTGCCTCGCATACTACACCATCGTGTGAAACGGCAGTCTATTTTTAAGAGTGGCTCGCGATACGAGTGGAAAACGCCGACTCGTCAACGGGAAAAATAAAGGAGAGAGGAAACGCGTGTGCGAAAGTACGAGAAAAATAAAGGAGAGGAAAATAAAGGAGAGAAAAGGAAGTTACGAGTATCAACGGAAGAATCGGGTTACGCCCAATGTGTACCCTCGCGTTTCGAGTTATTAGTCGATTTTTTCGAGTTACTAGTCGCAACGTTACCACAAAAGTTAAAAATCGATCGATCTCTTGGTCGTTGAACGATCGTACGAAAACGTCTGTTATTCTCAGCGTGAACATTATCGGTAATCGGTGGTAGTCCCCGTTTTCAAAAGAAGGTGGTCGGTCAGAGTTTCAAATCCACGAAGAAGATGAAGAAGAAAATCGATGAGCGGTGAGCGAAGTATTCGTTTGCGAAAGGGGGGGAAATAAAATTTGGGAAATGGACCGTGTTTCATTTCGTTCGAAGCGAATCTCGTCTCGTCGCGACGAGTGCGAGATTTAATTGCGTCAATTTGCGACACAGTAGAAAACGCGATCGAACATTCGGCTTTCGGTTGTTTCTAGTATCGCTCGATTTGACTTTCGAACGAAAGAAAGAAGAAAAGACAGGAAGAGAAAGAAAAAAGATGGGGGGAAAAAAACTTACGGATCACTGCCAAGGCGAGAAGACTGGACGCCGTCTTTACGACACTCTTCATGGTCTCCGAAGAGAAGCGTGCACTGTAATCGCGCGAGGAGAAAGAAAGAAGCGAAATAGGTGCGCGGTCGAACGACGAACAGCAGGCTAACAGTTTGGAAGAGAAAGAGGAAGAGGGCAGAACCGGCGCGGCTCTGAACGTCGAACGACACCCGTTTAGCTCGGTAGCCTCGAAACGACTGACTGTACCTGACTGTCGGTCGTCCCGTACCGTCCACGATCGATCCTCGAAATCCAACTCCGTACACACAATACGGCGGAGCCGCGTGCAACACAGAGTCGAGCGCGCGCGCCTCTCTGCCTCACTAACGCTCCTCTCCGCTCATTCGATTCCACACCATTCGATTCGACTCCGTTCGATTCCATTCGATTCGCGCCTGTCTTCCCTGCCCATGTTTCCCGATGCGCCGCACAAGGCCCGCACGCGTGTCCCACGCTTCACGCTTCCGGACACCGTGGATAAAACGTGGGGTGAATAACAGGCCGTGGGGAAAGAGCTCTTCTCGCTCTTTCACCCTCTTTGAATACTGGATACAGGGGAAGGGGGAGGGGAGGGGGGACAGGATCGAATTAGAAGCCGGCTCGAAGAAAGAAAGGATTCGCGCTCTCCTCTCTTGCGAATTCAATTTTCGAATTTCCATGCCTCCGAAAACTTGGTCTTCGTTTTATCGTGCGACGAGTAAATAAATAAATAAGTAAATAAATAAGTGAGCAAGTTGGAAAGATAGAATAAAAGGAAGTTCGTCGAGAGGTAAGAGTCGAAAAGTCGAGTCGAACCAGGTGTCGTTCCGCGTTTATCGGAAAATTGTTCAAATATCCCGTGTAATTGATAACGGGCCGAGATCGATAGCCGACGAACGAGTCGCGCTGTGCTAACCGGTGCATCTGTGCAAACGATGTATTTTTCAAATCTAAAATTATGCGTAATAACGTAGGATCGTACTCTTACGTGGAATTTATACTCTTGGCCGCGAGATACGAATTTTTCTCGACATTGGGCGGGATTCGAATAATCGATATCTCTCTATTAATCGAAAACCAAATGCGTATAATTCAACCGCGATCGAAAGACGCACGCATCCTATCGGTGAAATCGTATCGCGAAAATTTATCTGGACGAGGCGATTGTGATTACCATTCGAAAACGCTACGTAGCCGGTCTGCGTGCATATCGTTTGACGCGACATGTGTTGAACGCGTGAGCCCTAATCGAGCCGTAAACCCGACGACAGGGCTCGTTTCTCGGATCGGCGAAGGGTCGGCTTTGAAACATCTGTCGAGGGTTCGCGATCGAAGAAGGGTAAACGAGTACGTGACGCGAACCTTGCGCCACGTTTTGTGCCTCGATCTAGTCACCTCGATCTCGTTATACTTTCACGCCAAGGAAATTTACAAAGCGATGATGCATTGTTATTACACAGACGCTTGTCAATCGAGTCACGTGTTCGCGGAAAAAAACTAATTCTTATCTCGCTGAACGCGTATGTAAAGTTGAACAACCGATCGTTCTTGCGTTCTATTTCTTTCGATTATTTACGAAAAACTCAATCGCTTATGAAAAAAAAAAAAAAAAAAATTGCGTATATAAAAATATTTCTTTGAATTAAGAAACAAATTTGCGAAACGGGGAAGGGGGAAAAAATGGAACACGAAGGTAGAGGAAAAATGAAAAAAAAAAAAAAGGAAGGAAAAGAGCGCACTTATAACTAGCGCGTAATAAGAGTGGGAACGAGAAATTACTCTTATTTCTTGTGCAATCGTTGAATTTAATTTTGATATTTATTTCATCGCGATAATTGCTGCCTTTTCGATGTAACGAAATAAAAATAATCGACTCTAGGGAAATTCATTTTCTCTACTCTTTTTATTCGTATGCGTTCGGGGAATAAGAAAGAATAAATATTTAATATGGCGTTACGTATCCCGTTACGTAACGCGAGAAATAAATTTGAAAGGATATCGTTCCTCGCAAATACTCGAAACGAACAGCCTCGCGCGAAAAAGTCGTTCCTAAATCGGTCGTAACTTCCGGACTTGTCCTTGACTCTTTTCCCGAGCGAGCAAGGAAGAGGAAATGCATCGGCGCGTTCCAAATTTTCCAGGTCGACACTGTGTCTCCTTTCCCACTGAGTGTGCGTGCATGTGTGCCTACGTGTGTAGATACGATACGCGCGCGCACCCTCCTATGTAGAAGGAAGCAAACTCAGGGCCGGCGCTGTTCAGATACAATAGAAAATGGCAGTTTCCCCGAGACAATAGGGAATACTCTCTTTTGTAGCGCGAGTCGAAGCTCTCTCTCTCTCTCTCTCTCTTTCTCATTCTCTCCCCTCGACTCTCCACTCTTCCTTCTTACTACGACTCGACGAGTGCTCGTAGATATCCTCTTTAAAGTCGTATACGGAATTGAAACAAACCGACGCGTCGCGACGTGACGATTAGACGTTTCGATGTTTGCTTATATATTTCGTTCGAAGAAGGCTACCGATCCCAACGAAACGAGGCAAAAACGGGCAAAACGTTCTCGCGTGATCTAAGTCAAAATTCCCTTTCTTATTCAAAGGCTAGAAAATTGTGTCGACTTACCGACCAAATTCATTTCTTAGTTACAGTGGCGCTTCGTGTCTATTCGATTAATTGGTAAACACGTCTTACGTGGCTTTTGGCGATACACGGAGTCGAGGTCAACGTGGCTTACACACACACCGGTACGTGCGTAATTCTTCGTTCCACCGGTTATTCGCTCTGTTTTATTCCTCGTCACCTCGTAAAACGCGATTCCAATCGTAATTTTTTTTCGTCGCGCGTATTGTAATATTTTGAAATCGCCTACCGTGTTACTTTCCTTTGGTTCTTTCTTTTGCCTTCCTCCGTAGCAACGTTTCACTTCCCACCGATCCCTCTACGTATCGTTAACTCGAATGAAAGGTTTACTAAAACTTATCGATGACGATTTTCAATCGACATCGATCGAACGCTCGTGTTTCTTTTACTGGAATGTCAGATATTGAATATTGCTAGTGTTAACGAAGAATGTTATGTAAGCGTTGAAAGATCAATATAGAACGATGTGTCCCTTACCAGCTGCTGAAAAATCAGTTTCGAATCTCGTCATTTTCAAAAAGTCATTTCTCTCGTGTAATTTTTTCGATTGTTTTTTGTAAATTTTAATCATTTTTAAATTTTATACGATGTATAATTGATATTGGAAGTAACATTCAGTCCTATTCCGCTTTTAACTTTTTTTATCTAATCATTGATAGAGATATCCGCTTGAATACATATTTAAGAAGAAAGGTAATTGAAACGTAAGATAAAAATACATAATGTTATTATAAAAAGCTTAAAAAAATAAGAAATTTTTAATGGTTAGGATGTGCACGAACGTTATTTGTTATTAAATTAACATTTTATCGGTATAGAAATAAAAAATTTGATCACAAAAATTTGATACAAAGAAAAATCAAATTTAAAAAATTCTCATATTTTGAAATATCTATCGCACGAAAAATCAGAGCATTTACTGTACCCTGTACGATTTAGAATAATGTATAAAAAAAATTATATTCGATCCAATCACAAAAATCGATAGAATTTTTTTATAAATATTTTCAAGCATTATTATACGTATCAAATAATATTCGTAGATTCTTTTAATTGCTACGAATAGTAGACAAATTCATGTATGAGTAGAATTGTAAAAAAAAGTGGATTTTTATTATTAAATCATTTACGATATTCGTATCATATAAAAAAATATCGATGATTTTTAATTAATACACAACAAAAAAAATAAAAATAATGAGATATCGAATCGAATATTTTTTGAATTTTACGGACAAAGAGATAAAATAAAAAATATGAGATCAACGCCATTTCGCAATTAAAAAGATACATAGAACACATGTAGAAAAGATATAGTGGAAATAAGAATTAACGGTCAGCGCCATCTCTTGAATATCTTCAGAAAATGATTTTTTAAGGAGACATTTATATCATTCAATGAAATAATGTTGATTCCACAATTTTTATTCTATCTCTGACTCTTCTCTTATTTTCTTTTCTTATCTATATTCGTTCCTGGAATATACAGAAGTATCGATTATAATGATCCTCCGAATAGATAAAAAGAATGCAGATTGAATGTTTCGTATCTCGTTTGCGATTTGATTGAAAAAAAAATTAAAAGAAAAGAAAAAAAAGAGAAGAGAAAATACACGAGCATATGTGATGTTTTTATCAACGAACGATGTATTCGAGCACTTAGTGATCCATTGATGATAAAAAGCATAATTTAATTACATCATGAATATTGCAACATATGATTTGGTCTGTTTCTATTTGTTATATATTGTTGTATCTGTTTCTATTTTTTAATTTTTTTAAAAAATTTTTGCGAAATATTCTATACGCAACGTTTGAATAATTATACGGTGATAAAAATTTGGAATTTTTTTATTAAAATACAATACAAAATCGTACGGTTTTAGATTGGACAGACGTATTTTTTTGTTACAATATATCTATACGATAATACCCAACTATCGTGTATCGACTTAAATCTCGCAATTTATGTATCACGTGTGATTTATATAATCATTGGTGTTCATGGCAATCTTACAAACAAGTAGTGAACAAGTAAAAAACTTAACAGGTTTCTCGAGTTTGGCACAAAAGTAGTATTCGGAACGATAGGAACATTGATATCGGCGATAATATTATTATTCATTCGTATACTAACCGTAGATACAACCAATATGTTGAACGACGGCCGTGAAAGTAAAGTTTGGCCTAATTGACGTGTCTTGTTATCTTTGATTATAGCTTAACGAGTATAACCGATGTTTACAGTTGAGCAGAGTTAAGAGTTCCTTGGTCCCATTTATCTATCTATTTACATATTAATTACGCTCGCTATTAAATTCGAACCGAACCAATTTTGATCGGTATCGATTTCAAATTCTATTTCTATCAATAAATGTCAATTATCGAAGCATCGTTCGCGCTCTCTTCGCAAATACATAATTATATTTGGTTTTATTGAATAATAAAGGTAGGTACGTACTATCGTCGAATCGATGCAAACTATTTTCGGATGCTTAGTTGAAATATAATCATGCTGTACTTTCGTTTCATCATCAAAACGATTGAAAACACGAAAGATTCTACATCCGATTATATACGTCCATATCTTTCGTTATATAGACATTAATTAATTTTGCATACGATTCTAAATTTGATACAAAATCCGGTTGAAATAT